GGGAAAAAAAAATTTTTTTTTCCCCAAAAAAAAAAAATTTTTTTTTGTGTTTTTTTTTTTTTTTTTTTTTTTTTTTTGCTTTCAATATTTAAGATACCTTTCTGTTGTCTTATACCAGTGGCCACATATCACTTTTACGGTCAGTATCATTACATACTATCATCGGAGTTGTAAATATTACTTCTCCCTTCTCTGCTGAGGATTTTGTTTTGCCTCTGCATTAGCATGAGCTCACGTCTGGCAAGCAAAAGGCATTAAATTCCACTGAGAGCGAGGAACATTTACCTTGGTGGGCACTTTGACAGCGAAGAGATACAGCCTCCATGTTGCCAGGACCTGAGGGGGAGAACACATTTATTTATATATTTATTTATTTTCTGTCATTGAGCCGCAAACGCAAGATGCAAATCAGAGCAAACAAAAAAAATAGCACGGCACAAAAAGAGCGCGAATCGTCTCCGCAGTTAATCCAAATGTCTTCGCAAGTCGAACGGAGCACTCTAAACATTAGCCTGCTAATGGCGGCGGGGTTAGGCAGAATGTGAAAGAAATATAATGATGAGCCTGCGAGTCATGTGACAGACTAATTTATTTCAGTAAGTTGTGTTGATGGAACTAAGTAGCAATTATTCAACAGATGCCTCATTGTGCTAGAGAGAGAGAGAGAGAGATGGAGAGGAAATCATTGGTAAATCAGGAGGGAGATGTAAGACAAAGACGAAAAAAACAAAAAATGAGAGGTGCTTTTCGTTGGCAAAAGAAAAAAAAGGGGGGGCATTACCATTTTAAAGTGTCTGGGGTAAAACACGAGAAGCAAAACGAGAATATATTAATATTCTGCCCATCCTATTAATCTCATTTATAATTCAGAAATCCACAATTAGCATACCCCATGTATGCAGTGCATCTCTTCTCCACTCTAACCCTCTCTGTCTATTAGTCACAATTCCTCTGTATCTTTTCCAGTCTAGTGCTTAGTTCTTGTTCTCTCTCAGTTCTAATTCTCTTTCTTGTTTCATGTCAGTCCATTGGATTTTTTTTTGTTTTGTTTTCATCTTCTTGGCCCGTCCCTAATTCCTCCCATCTCCATGTGCCACACTGTACGTCCTCTCTGTCGGGTTTGTGCCCAGAACCCCCGACACCTCACTCCATCCCCTTGTGCCCTCAGCCCTTTTCACCCTCCGCTCCCTTCGCAATTCAGTTTTTTCTATTCCTTTTCTGCTCTGTCGCTTTCAATTCCTCAAGGCCTTTCTGTGCTGAATGGCTAATGGCGCCCTGCAGAGAGGCGGAGAGAGGAAGAAAGAAAATGAAACGTACAGAGACAGAAAGAAAGAAGAGGGGAAGGGCAGATAGAAACGCAGAGACACTCGATTTTTTATTTTTTCCCCTGTTAATGGACTCTTCGGATTCCTCTCAACAATACCACATCATCTCCCGGCAGAGACAGCGTTACACATCAACACCCGGTGTCTTAAATATACAGACACACATAACGGACTCCGACAGAGTTCTGAGGCGAAACAAAGGGAGATGGAATAATACCTCCCATCAAAACGGGAACAAAAACCAGAAAACGAATGCATCTTCTCTCAAGATCTGAAGTCAAACAAGAAGCTTGAGGATAAGTCTACAAGCGGCCGTAAATCCAGAGACGAGCGGGGCCCTTCCAGACGGAGCCGAGCCGAGACATAAACAACTAATTATAAAGTGACTAATAAAAGCTTTCAAAAGGCCCCACAACCTGACAAAGTCATCAATAATGTAAGCTCGCTCGCCAAAGGGCCAGTTGGAACCTCGGAAGCGAGCTTGTTCTGAAGACTGTCCCTCCATCATTGCCTAAACAGACAATGACGGGTCATTGTCTGTTTAGGCCCCATCAGGGACGAACGCAGCAAAAGTATCTTCACTTTAATGTGCCGCGTTAAGTTGAGAACTCTTAATGGCGTTAGCTTAGCGTAACGGAGACAGTGAGCAGCAATGGCAATTAACCTTCTACGCATGCCATAATTCAGCTAACCTTCCAGGAACCTCCAACAAAGCAGCACACGTCAATCAGACAATGAAGTCTTTATGCCCCTGTCGCGATAAGTATGGTGCAGCCAGTACAACGATACACTATCATTAGTCCTGTAGTAGCAACATTTATTTGACATAAAGCAACATTTGATTAAAAGAAAGCAGTAAATGTAATTGTTCCGAAATGTACTGAACAAAGAAGGACTTGGGTCACAGACTTGGCGTTAAAAGCCCCAGGTTGCATCAATATGCGCCCCTGTACAATACGCAGGGCGCCTTAGGCTACAGAATGTCAATCTGACACTTGTCAAACAGCGAGGGGGGGGGTGGTGTTTGCGTGTTAAATAAATAAATGATAAAAACTTATATGAAGAAAACCTATAATAAAAGGTGAATTGAAGGTTGCCTGAGGTGACGCTGCGTCTGAGGCACAGACAGTAAAGCAGTGGCTCTGCTGCATGACTGTTGTGGAAGGAGTTAAAAAAAATAAAAAATAAAAAACAGATACTCTGAAATTCACCTTGCACTCTCAATAATTTAACATTTGGGCTTAATAGTTCAATGACCCGACAGCATTTTCCATAAATTACATCAGAAGTATTTTGGGCTTTTTATTAGGACTACCATGGGGCAGGTTGCTACGCTGCGCCATCTGCCCTCCTGACTGACACCAGCAGGCAAGGTGGGTGAAGCGTCTTGTCCAAGGACTCAGTAATAGAGACGGATACAGTAGGGGCTAAAACCGGCGACCCACCAATTGCAGGACGATCCCCCATCGAGTGTCAAATTCTGACTTACAATGGATTAAATAGAACGTTGGCATTATGTGTTCTTAAACCTGGCATGTCCCACAAAAGTGTCGCAAATCTTTCAATAATAAAAAAAAAAAAGCATCTGGGTGCTGAGGTGGCGCTGGGGTTGACCACAACCCACATAAGGAGGCCTTAGTCCTCGACACGGCTGTCGCAGGTTCGGACGGTGGATGAGTGTGTGTTTATTGTGGCACTGAGCTGTGGTAGCTTCTACACTAAAGACTGCCGCTGTGTACTGGTAGCTCTTGTGAGTGTTCACTGATTGGATTTTTTAATTTCCAACAGCCTGAATAAGCTGAAAATCAACTAATTTCTCATGTTGCATCTTTGAGTCCTTTTGTGGGGTGGAATTATAATTTCCCTCTTTATCTTATACTTGCAAATATAAAGTGAATTACGCAATAAAATCTGTGGTAGATAGATACACCCTAAGGTATACTTCTAATACCTTAGGGTGTATAAGAGGATTGTTGTAATTTTGCATGAAGATTATGTCCTTGGATTGGGAGCACCCACTTGATAAGATAAATGAGTTGTCTCAAAACCACAAATTAAGCCACAAGAAAGAATATCCAGCAATTTATTATTAATTAGCCCTGCCAGCCAGGGCTCAAGACAAACCCCGGCAGTCGAAATCAAACTATTTGGCCTACTTGTTGCATTCTTTCTGCCAACACTCGTCCTAAAAAGCTCAATCCAAAACGCCTAAAAAGCTGCTCAAATATCGCTCTGGAATGATTGGAGATGAGATGGTCAGCTTCTTTGATGTGGTCAGCCAAGCAGCCAGCAAGTGACAGTTTAAAAAAAAAAAAAAAAAACGGATGAAGGAAGTGGCAGGAGAAAGGACTGGAATGTAAAGATGACAAGATGAGAGGTACAGAGGTGCCCTTGCTGTGATGTGTGAGTGTCAGAAGCTCCAGTTCAAAGAACCAACCAGCCAGCCGGCGAGCCGGACCCGGCAGCGACGCCGCGAGAGCGGGACGAGGCTTGTGTGTCACTCAGGAGTGCCTCTGCGCCGCACGCACAAGAGAGCGACTTAGTCTATCTTTCCGCGCGCGCGCGCACACGCACGCACACACACACACACACACACACACACACACACACACACACACACACACACACACACATGAGGGAGGTTCAGAGGGCGGGGGCTTATATTAATCTTAAGCTGTCAGGCTCTTGCACTTCAAACGAGATGTGGTGGAAATCAAAGCATTTCACTGGATCGCGTGTGATTGCACACGGACGGGCGCCGCGCCGCGCCGTGACGTAGCCTCTGAGGAAACAAGCAGGGGGGTCTGTGCCAGATTTGGTCACCAATGGTAGTTTTGGCCCGTCCACAAGGGCATCTCAAAATGAGCGCACAGAAAAGCCCCAACACGCTCACATCGAAGCGGACACATGCTAACATGTCGCACATTCATGAATATACAGCGACTGGAAAAAACCAGTCGTTCCCCATGGACTGCTTCATATTTTATCACGTTCCAACCACAGTCTTTGATGCATTTTAGGAGTATTTTATGTGATGAAACATTAAAAAGTAGTAAAAAGAATTTTAAATTTAAGGATATAACTAAATATGCAATGTGAACGCCAGTTACAAGAAAATATATACTGTAGGCCTGAATCAGGTGGGAGGGTGAATAATTTGGTCTTAACTGTTGTTCTTGTGCTGAAACAATAAGCCATTGTAAAGAAAAAAAAGAAAAAAGAAAAACTGCACAACCTAGTAGCTAAGTAACTCAAGAAATTAATTCAGCTTAAAAAAAAAAATGAGCAAAACCATGTCGTCCTTCAATCTGTTAATGATCGGGAAAATGGAGATGTCCCTGATTCTGATGTATGACAAACGGATAAAACCAAATGAGGAAAAAAAAAAAGAAACGTAGAACTTGAAAATATAACAATGCGCTGGGTTTTTTTTAGAAGAAAGAACTATAATCCACAGATTTCATTCAGAGGTTTAAAAAAAAAAAAAGTCCAACTCCTGGCAAACTGACAAAGCCAAGATTAAAAGAGGACAGGAAGGGAAAAAGAAGACTGACAACGTGTAAACGTGGTGCAAGATAAACGCAGAGAATGACTGGGGTTAAATGGCTGCAGACAGACGAGACGGAGAGAAGGACAAGTGTCTGGAGTGAAAAGAGAGACGGGAAATGAATAAGATGCAGAGGGGGCAGAAACAGTCGCAGTTTGCCTTTAAGTCCTGACAGTGCATGCTCACACTCATTCACACTTTCTCTCTCTTTCCCTCTCCCTCCACCACGAGGGAAGAGAGAAGGTCAGCAGTCACACTTCACACTCACTCCGCCACAGGCTAGCCAACATGTGTTGTTAAGATAATCAAAGGAAATTTCAGTCCTAATTACAGTGCCGAGCGCTCAGCAAGCACCATCAGATGGTAAATCTAGAGGCTTGCCGAGAAAAACGACTTTTTGGAGGCAATCTCACAGGGACAGAGACATAAAAATGAAATACATGGAGATGTTCGCTATCACACGA